TGTTGCTGTTACTCTTCTTAGTGTTCTCCTTGTTATATATATACTGCATTTTTGTTTTGGATAAATCGCTTGACTCTTCAACTATTGGACTAATTGATTTTTGGTTAAGGATTGTTGTTGGCGCTAGAACTAGGCTAATCATTATTTATCGATCTTAAGACCTGAGTAAACGTTTCATGTTTTTTTTCAAGATTTATTCAAATCATACAATTCAGATTTAAGGCCTGCCTAATTTTTAGTCATGGTTTAGTGATTTCAAGATGTTGATATTTCCTCAAAAGGCCTTGCCAAGTATTCATGTAATATCTCAACAGCGAAAAATATATATTCTCCAATCATCAATGTTACACGACTGCTAAAACTTCAGTATATATATAATTTGCAATTTGTTCCGAATCCGATTCTTCGATCGCCTGGAATTGGCCATTTTGATGGTACCGTTGCGAATAAAATTTATCACACTACTCTTGAAGTGAAATAATAACTTTCGCTTACTGCAAAAGGTATTGTGGGATCGTTTGACAGTCAACACCGCCAAGATACTCGAGAATCGGTAAGTTCAATCCTAAACCTTGGCAGCGGCGAAACTTGCACTTGTTACATAATAAAATGCTCTATGGGGCTTGCGCAGACTCAAATACTGTATGTATATATTATATGTTGCACATACAGGCTACAGTACTGTATTATCCCTGTTTAAAAGCACAAAATAGGAGCTGTATCAAACTAGATCAAGTCAATTTTTAGAGGTACGATTATGAATTTACTCAACATCAGCCGCGATCGTCTACTCGAAACGTGGCGGTTGATAGCGACCGACGTGTTGTACACCCCTGGTTTATTGTATAAATATTTTAAATGACACATTTGGGGGCACCATAATCTTCAGTGCTTAAGGCACCAAATGGGCATGTTCCGCCCCTGAGCAGATGGTTAGGTTCATTATCACCGGAGTTATGGATTCTACTTCAGGTAGTAGTGTTTCCAACTTCTCGCGAGTAATCGATTGACCTGTCAACAATACAGATAGAATTCGTTTAGTTGATTTAATCATTATTTTGAAAACGCCATGGGGGATTAAGATATAATTTCTTTCAATATTTTAAAACACGTAATTTTTCTACCTAAGGAAAATTTGAAAGCGATTTGTTCATTAGATGAACGAAATATCAGTTTTTGTCTCAGTTCCATTTTGTGTTTGACTATTTTTGATTGCATAGCAGCACTCGCTTCGACTCTATATGTCGAAACCACAATTCGCAGCATGGCTAAATAATTTAGCTCAAAAACAGCGCCCCCTTTATCATTAGTAGTTTCCATATATATATATAACATTACATAATTATTATGTTACATATTTTCAAAAACATAATGAATGCACACCATGGGTCACAGGTACTTCATCGAACAACTCCGTGTATTAGGTAGGCCTAACTTGCATAATCAAACATCGTTGAGTTAATGAGTAAATTACTGGTTTGGGTTTTACAGAGCACAGAGAAAGTGTCGATAATGTTTGCTCAAAGCTAAACATGAAAAAATAAAACTAATGTATATTTGACCAAAACATCTTTGAATAGCAAAAATCCGTTATATTCATACGTCACATCAAATTTAGAAGGCAATTTAGCGAGACAGAATGAAGCAATTAATTTTGGATAGAATACACATATTTGAGAAATTTGTGATGAACGGGCGATATCGCTTGCGTATGAGTTTCACACACCTGCTGTGATTTGTAATATTTGCAAACGTCTTTTACAAGATAAGTTTTCCCTATTTATATATTTACTAATTTTATTTTTTAATGTGGCGAGGGAGTTTTCAAAAATCTCACATTTTTGCATTAGTGATGGAGGCTTTCTACAAAAGTTTCGTTACGTGACCATTGTCAGCTATTTGTTAGATGAACGGACTTCATGGTGGATGAAGACGCGACTGACCGGCGGTTACGTCATTCGCCATTCGATGGAGAGGAGTCCAGCAATTCTCTCGCACATCATTATCACGAGCGGAATTTTAACGGGCGAACCCGCGCGGGCTCATCGAAGGAACGGTGGCAAGCGTATTCATAATGCTTATAACGATGCCCCATACCGCCGATTTTCGCAGTATTGCATGCTTGATGTTGATACGCATTGTGGAGGAAAGTAATTATTCATTACATTCTATATAATTCACCGTAAAAATATTTCCGTTTATTGTTCGATATTAGTTAGAATCTCTTCTGCATATTATGCTTTTAAACGTTTCCTTATCCGGTGTATTCAAATCATTGCAAGAAGGACGTAATGGTTTCATATCCCAAATTGAACACATTTCAGTCGCCAAAGAATTTGTTCGTGAAAAGATATGTATTGGAATCAAATCTTTTATACAAAAATATTTCCTGAATATTATGTTCATTTTAGATTTTTATACTGTGATAGTTTCGATGTTTGCAACCATATACTGCAAGAATTATTTTTAGCATCAAATTAAAAGGTAACGTATGCTCGTAAACAAAAACACATGACATGACCTATCGATTCATACATCCATGCTTGCAGACTAACCCACAATCATATGATATTACATTAGTAGTGTTTTCTAGCTCATATTTTTCTAGACCCATTGTGGGTCTATAGATCGTGTTGCGAATTTACTACACGAAGGCGAAGTGGATCTATGGATTGTTTTGTTAAATTGTTGTTGTAGATATAGGTATTCTTCTTTATATTCTTGTGGTTGTTGTCATTATTGTTATGGTAAAAACCCGCTTTTTTCTATATCTACTGGACCAGTTACTTTGAAGTTTTCGGTGGTTGCGGATTTTTTTTTTGCTAGAAGGCTATTTCTTTTATTCATTTAAAAAGAATTGCGAGCTCTATGGTATTCGTTTTCACTTTGACGTTTTGTGTGATGACGTCATCGAAAAGTGCGCACCGTATGGCGGTTTCGCGATCGCATTTTAGAGATCTGCAGGTCAGCGAAGTCGGGAGTTTTTTGATATAGAAGACTCCCGGTACTGTAAAAGATTTGTACTGTAAAACTTTCAAATTATCAGCTGTTAGAAACGAAAATGTCCTTCTTTTTTGTCTGTTTTTTCCAAATTTTATTTGAGCTCATTGATGGGAAATGACTATTGCACATTTTATTTTAAAGATCTAAGGTCTTAAAAAACTTCTTAATGGATTTTGGTTATGAATAAAATAGCGTTTTGCATCTTATTTCTGGATTAATACAGTCACAAACGTTTACGAACGCCGCAATAAATACTCGTGAGATACTCGTTAGATACTAAAATACTCTACAATCTACATCAATACTCATTTCATCATACAAATTCAAGTGAAAATTCATAGATGCAATGCGAATCATTTATGCAGTACAAATAGCAAAGGAAATCGATGATTTTTCATATCCTTCACAATTCAAGATTACAAATATACCCATTCTTCGTTTTATAGTGATTATGATCTAGTCTGCCGATTATGACTTGACGTTTCCGCCTTCATTGTATTCACAACATTGGAACGGATGGAAAGCTTTCATCGCTGCAATGAAAAATCAGTTTGGTATTCTATACTACTGACTATTGCACATTTTATTTTAAAGATCTAAAGCAGGGGTCGGCAACCTTTTGTCGCTCGCGGGCCAAAATTAAGGTTGCAAGTCATTGACGGGTCGCACATATTTTTAGAAAGTTGAAAATCCGAACGGATGGTACTTTTTATAATAAAAATCAAGCCCTGATACATCTCTCGAATAGAATATAGATTTATTTCCTCATTGCATCTCATAAAATCCCATTTGAATATTTTCAGCGCCATTGAACACTTTGCACTTAGCATCAACTTTTCCGCGTTTTGTTGCCATTTGCTTGATTATAATTAAATTATATGCTCATTAAACGAGTAATTGTGAATTATATGATTGGTAAGTTATAATATAATTTAGTCTAAAGAATATATTCGCCAAAACGGATGTTTTGCTACTATAATTTAGTGGAGCGTCGCGGGTCGGATTATAGTGCTCCGCGGGCCGTAGGTTGCCGACCACTGATCTAAAGTCTTAAAAAACTTACTATTCGTTTTTGTTGCTTGAATAAAGAGTCGATTTAATAATTTCTTGGCATATAATTTAAAGTTAACTACGTTCCATTTGTATGTTGGCTATTTCACGCCTTTCTCCAAAATAATAAAATTTATTCTAATTTATTATAAGAACTTCGATGATCAATTCAATACTTAGTTAACACAATTGAAAAAGCAAACTTATTTTTTTTGGTTTAGTTCTTAATGGATTTTGGTTATGAACAAAATAGTGTTTTGGTGCTTATTTCTGGATTAATACAGTTACAAACGGTTACGAACGCCTCAATAAATACTCGTAAGATACTCTTTAGATACTAAAATATTCTAAACATCAATACTCATTTCATCATACAAATTCAAGTGAAAATTCATAGATGCAATGCGAAACTCTGAATGCATACATACATCTAATAGTAAATCACTAAAATGGGAGAATTGAAACAATGACATTTTCGCTTAACGCATGGTACATTATGTGTGAAATATTGGTATGTGCTGCAACCTGAAAGTAAATATGAGGATATGCACAAGGTAAGAATCATTTATTGCAGTGCAAATGGCAAAGGAAAACGATGATTTTCCATATCCTTCACAATTCAAGATTACAAATATACCCATTCTTTGTTTTATAGTGATTATGATCTAGTCTGCCGATTATGACTTGACGTTTCCTCCTTCATTGTATTCACAACATTGGAAAGGATGGAAAGTTTCATCGCTGCAATGAAAAATCAGTTTGTTATACTTTATGCACATTGATATGAGAGCGCTTTCATCTCATAATAGGTGGCCATGCGCAATTTTTCCTCTGTCCGTGTGTAAAAATACAAAATGTTATTTTCAATCAAGCTCTCAGACCTTTTTTTTAGCAAGCGGTAAAGGGAGTCTATAAAAGACAGCAGAAGTGTTCATATCGAATATTTGATAAAGATAGATTCCGGTTGCATACTTGTCGGTATTGAAAAGTATTAGGCTTCATCGATAAACAATGTTTACAATTGTTGTCTTGGTTATTTCATTATGTACTCCGGCAATTGATGGTGAGCGAAATCAATTATATTTTGTACATGCAAATTATTTGTTGTTTATAATCACACTATTATTTTTGTCAAAAGTTGTCAAATTTAGTCGACCGACGTGTGAAAGCAAGTCCCAAGCTGTTTCTTTGCATAAAGTGATGAGTGTATACTATTCTCAGCGCTGTTTGTCGGTGGGATAGCAAAAAAAAACAAAACGAAAAAAGATTAAGAAGGCTCCGTTTTAACTTCCCATTCTTTTATGAGTTCTGAAAAATTGCATTTGCCGACGTATTTAATTACACCATAATCCCTAAAACTATGGTGTCGGGTTTGAGGGAGATAAATTCCACAAATCTGCTTAAAAGCAAGGTCTTGATTTCTTCACGTTTTCTGACCCTACAATTGTATATATTTTACAGCTTTGCAACCAGCAGGATGCGAAAAAAGATTCCAGGATTTTGGAGGAAAGGTTTCCACTTTTGAATGCCCCGCAAATTGTGATATCGGAGATGTGTATGTTGTAGGTGGACCAGATGCTTTTCAACCTGATTCTCTGGTTTGTGCTGCTGCTATTTTTACTGCTGCAGCTCCAGGTGATACTGATGATGCCATATATTGTAGCTATGAAATAAATACTTTGCAGGATTTCAGATTGATCCCCTTGCAGAATTTCTTGAATTTGACCGTTGATTCCTATAGAATTTTGATATTGAAACACCGATTATAGAAATAACCTTAGTTGTGAACATAAATTAGATGTATTTGTAGTAAGTAGTAAACAGTCTACAAATGTCAATATTTTTCTCCAATATATGTGTGTTCCAAGTAAATACTTCATCAGCCCAGCTCTCGATTCATATGGCCACATAGCAAAGTTGAATAATTTATTCAAATGAACTAGTTGAGCTATGCGTACTAAATATGATAGTTGTCATTTCAATATTATATTAGATGTTTCGTATATCACAATGACTGATTGTACAACGTCTTCACTTAATTGAGAAATTTAATAACCAATATAGATAAAATGTTGTGGCTCACCCAACTCACTCTGCAGTCTGCATATTACAATTTAGTGACCGATTGGAGTTTCATACCTATATAAAATATCTACATGTAAGTAGCTGCTACCATCTACAGAAATAATATATCACGATGAATAAATTACATTAAAATATTTTAACAGTTTCAGGAGGAAAAGTTGTTTTTCGAAAACAAACGTCAAACCCTGTTCCGACAATGGAGACGGGGTCAGCAAACGGGGTTAACACGATAGATCCTGCCACTGCACCAACAACCAACACCGTATTCTTTGCGTTTGAGGGTAAATACTATGAATTATTTTTTACAGCATTTTTTGTGAAATATTGTTATTACGTCGATAAGCAAAATTGAGGATATTCTTCTTATGATTAAAATAAAAATGGTTTTGGACACTGACTTGTGTGTCGAATATCAAAAAGAGCACAGAAAATATTCGGGCACCATTCACCTATGTTTGATAACAACAAATATCATGAAAAATTAAAAAAAAAATTGATTAGAAAATATTCTTTCATTGTTTATATATAACACTATTTATACTAACATATTTTGAATTATGCACGCAGAAAAACATATTGTTCAGCCCTCTCCAAAGTTCACCTCCATTATATTACTTTTTAATTAGGTTTAGATTAATTAGTGTCATGCGAGCAATGGATGAATTTTTTTCTGGTTGTATGAATTATAAATTCGTTTGCGTCCAGAACAGTTTCAATGAAATACGGTCCACTTTGCTATATCTATACACCAACCAATACTGTCATTCTAAACACTAACTGCTTTTGGTATGGTTTTTTGCAATCGTTCGAAAAAATATCCAGTCAATCTATTAGTAAATGTGCTCTCGTTTTCATCCTGATTCAATTTGTCATTAAAAAAATGTTTATCCTACAAGTTTGTCACTCGAACTTCCAAATTGAAAAATTTATTTCGTATGACTGCTCTCTTGTCTTCATTGGTTTGAATTATTCAAGTATTGCGTTAATCGCAATTAATTAAAACAAACAAGTGGCTATTAGCACGTCGATGGTCGCTTGCCAATCTTCTATCAGTATTTTAATTTGAGGCGAATCAGGACCTTGCTCTGAGATACGTCTTAAAAATCCGTAACAAATTTGCCAAAAAGATTAAATGATATAACATTGATAATGATATTTAATTTAATATTTCTCGCATTAACTGCGTTGAAAGCTTGCTTCCGTAATATCCGATATTTCGATATAGATAAAATGTGTGGTAAATTTAAGAGTTATTTGTCTAAAACTAATATATTGTGTATATTGAAATACGATAAAAGAGGCGCGTTTTTTGACTGCAAAAATGGTATAATATGCCTTTTCTCCGAAGTAAAAAAGTTTTCGTTTTAAAATATATCATATGTATTTATATATTATCCAGAATCAGTCCTAAAATGATAATTTGGCTTTGATGCTTAATAATGAATGGTTTCGCCAAGAAAAACATTTTTTACGTGGGCATTTTTGCAATCATCATAGACCACGGAATGTAATTTTTTTGTACAATTATGTCAGTTTTTGTTCAAAAGACAAGTTTCTTTGAAACTGAGGCAATTAGTACACATCAGTGTTTCCCATTATGAGAACAGAAATAGTATTCTTGATAATTTCTTCGATGAATGCATAAAAGACTGAGATGCACTCTCATGATGAAACATGGAACAAAACGCATAATTACAAAACCGACTGTTTACACCGCTTGTGCTCTATATATCCTCAACATGAATATACTTGATAGCAATAATGTGCTAGAGTAGTGGATATTAGGTATATTTCTTAATAACAATAGTTTAAGATATCACGAGAAAATGTGTTCTCGACTCAGTCGTGACAAAATTTTTCAGTATCACTCAGTATTAACAAATGATTGAGATGAAAAAGTATTTATTTCTAGATTCAATTCCATCTGATTGTGCAGTTGCAGCAGAAGATATTGATCAGGAAGTTTTTGTATTTAACTGCCCAGCTAACTGCGAATCAAACACTGACATAAGATCTGACCTTGTTTTTGATGTTCCAAAATCAATATTCGCGGTTCAATCGCTCATTTGTATGGCTGCACTTTATGACGGAAAAATAACAAGTGAGACCGATCTCTTTCAATTTTACATGTTTTATTCATATTTTTAAATCAACTGCCGGTAGAATCCAACTTACACAGGTTACCTGAAATTCGCCATGTACGAAATAAATAATAACAATCTTTGCAAATCTGCGGCCGTAACATATGATTTTTTATGATGATTTGGCTCTCAAAAATTGACAATGTTTGTTTTGTAAAAAGAGCAACTGCTACTCCCGAATCAAATCACTTAGTGTAAAGTGCTGAAGAACCTTTTCGCGCTATTCACAGCTATTTGGCAGACATGGCTCATATTTCTATTTCATTCTGCATTCTTGTTGAGGGAAATTTATACAAAGTCTGGTTTAACAAAATAATTTTACAGCTGGGGGTGATGTTGTGGTTCAGAAACAACAAGGGATTTTATCATACGGCGACGCCAGCGGCAGTATTTCTGGAATTGACCCGGTGCCGTTAGATACGTATGATCCTGCGTTTACATTTTCAGGTTGGGACTAACGTTGTGTGCATGTCCGATTTTCATTTATCCTTAATTATCTTATTAATAGATGCAGTTTTGTTTTAGATTGGTGTGCTATAATATGATGATAATTAGAATATGGCATTTTATTTAAACTTTTTTCAACATGAAAACTCTTCGGTGATTGTTGTAATCAGAAAAGCAAATCTATGTAATTCACCACTATTATGTAAAAAAATACTATTATTAAGATATATTTTGATTGGTGTTTGACTTATGACGTATGTTCGGTGTCTGAAAAAATTCCAACATGTTTGAGATATATTGCCGTGAAATGTAAAGAAGAGGACGCTTATACATGGATGCTGCAACCATTACGTAGGCACCGTTAGAGATACAAACGGTGGTTGCGTATGATATAATGCTTTTGTAGTTAATAATTTTACATTTTTTTTTATATCAGATACAATAAAACCAGGTTGCTTACAAACCATGTCAAGCCAACCAAATCCAATCTTCTTCTTCACTTGCCCGACTGACTGCAGCCCGAACCTGGTTGAGATCGTGGGAGACGGAATCTACAATGACGGAACACCAATATGCCTTGCAGCTATTCATGATGGACAGATAACCGGTAAGTCTCATCTTGTTTTTGATCATTACTAAAATTGCAGATATCAATTTTACAAAGTGCGAATATAAAAATAAATAATAGAAATTGTTCGAGTAGTTCACAAATAAAAGATTTATTACATAATGAATTATAAGGCACTGGGTAATTATGTGACAACGGTCATACTCAATACACAGAACCCGTGTTATAGCTTACAAATTTATCATACAAAATCATTTCTAATGTATGAACGAAATATGCATATGTTTTATTCCAGCTGCTGGCGGAGGTGACGTAATTGTGAATAAACGCCCAGGTCAGTCAGGATTTAGTGGAAGCACACGTAATGGTGTCACCAGTATCAGTGGAGGACCAGACGATGGTTTTGATTTTCTCGGTAGGTAAAGGTAACAGCAGACGTCTGTCTGCGCGACGCATCGCCAACATGTTTCTCTTTCATATTTCGGTCAAATTTTCTTTATAAATCGTTCTGTAAATTTGATTATCGAAAAAGATACCAATACAGTAGATGGGATAACTGCATTTTCAATGGAACACACAAATCCTAATACGAAGTAATATTGCGATTGTGTATATGCGATCGTTTCAATACTTAAAAAAACTTGTCCGTGAACCTTAAAAAAACTTGATTTGTTCCTTATTCGCGGACAATAGCGATGAATAATTTACTTTAAGTGAAATTTTGTTTAATTGGGTCTGTTTGTGCCGATAGTGACTGATGTTAAATATTAGTAACGGTTGCTCTTTATACGTGTAGACTGCATCAACGGATCTCCTACAAGTTCTCCATCGGTAGGTTGTTCTTGTACTGCGACTTGGTTCGGAGATGCGTGTGATATAAGTGAGTATACTGCTTGCTAAGTTTGAATTATGAATGGCATGCGCATGTGAAAAAGATATTTGCACAAATATCATCATCAAGCATTCGGAAAATATCACATTAATTGAAGCTCATTTAGGATGGAAATATAATACGGTATATAGTCTGCCCAATACAAATATTGTACAATGTTCATATCAACTTGGTGGAAGATTGGGTTGATACGGTTGATGTACTTTACATGTTTTGTCCTTGCTAGCCCCGAATCAAACAAAACAAAGCCACGATATACGATGAAGAAAATAAGAATAAGTTTAAAAACTTTACAAGAAACAATATTAATTAATTAAATCAACTCTTGTCATTGAAGTAAAGGCAATATAAATTCCTAACCGAAACATTATCCATATTTCAGCTTTTTATTTGCAAACACAATGCCTGGTATAGTTACATTATAGGTATAACAAAAAAAACGTAATTTAAACGATTATTTTGCAAATCAGTCATGTTGACTTTAAAATAATGTAACTCAAATGAACGTATTTCGTTGCGCAGTGTGTGTTGAAGGAAATTACGATGCAGCGAATAATCCAGCATGTACCTGCAATTCTGGATGGGTTGGACCTATGTGCAATTTCCGTGAGTTTTATTTTTAAATTAAATTAATACTATCTTATAAACACCAGAAAATGTATATTCAACAATATAAACACATTTCAAATTCGTTTTCTTCTAGCAGTAGTTAATCATAAATAATAAAAATTTGTGATCGTATGAATGTAAGTTGAAATGGCCAATATCATTTAATGCCTTATCTTTAACATTTACAGCATTATGTTAAGCACTACTGAAGAAGACTGAAGAAAATATAATTTTTTGATTCTGCTCATATTTACATTAATATTACTTGTTTTAAATTTACGTTAAGTTCCAAATGAAATATCCTCGTAATATTTGCGAGAATGTAGGTTGAGAAAGTAAATTTCAATCGACACATAAATATATTTACATATATATATATATTACATTTCTACCATCAGATACGATATCAAAAATATACGATGATTGTAATGTGGAGTAGTCTCGATGGTTATTTATTAGCGGACACCTGAAGTTCTTCAGTAGATTGCCGTATTCTCACCATTACACGTTGTGTCAATATTCTAATATGTACAAACTGTTTTCATGATATTTATGGGAACCAATTTAAAAATCATGTGTTTTAATTTAAGCTACTGTTTTCTTCCTATTTTCTGTGTAGTAAATTGTGATTCACCGAAGTTCTGGCATATTAGAAGGTGTGAAATAGTGGCTTCAATACAAGGTTACATAAAAAAAAGTGTTGGATAAGTTATGAGTTTGAAGATCTACCAAATCAATTACTGCATTCTCCTATACTTTATTTCAAAAATAAATCTAAGCTTGTATCTTGCTAATACCAGATTTTGATATTTCCTATATTTATATATACATATTATGCTATTCAAACAATATTATTTTATTGATTTTCTTACCCTGTATATATTAGGGTAAATATAGAACTATAAAAATGATTTGTTTGTGTGATGTGGTATCACTATCTTTGCAAAACACAAAGGGTTATATCGATATAAAGAGTCTTATATCTGGAATTTCCTCGGACCAAAAGAAGTACAATGAGATAATAAAGAATTTCCGCGCACGATTGCCACCTGGTATATTCATGTTGAAGATAGATAAAGCACACGCGGTGTTAGCAAAGCGATGTAATTTGCCGACGTTTCAAATTTCTACTCAGAAAAACTTTATCAGGGCATGATAGGGAAAGCCTCTATCGTATATATATAGAGAGAGAACAGAAAAAAGAAAGGGAAAAATTATCTAAAAAAGGAGATAAAATGATAACAGATCTGAGTGAATTAGCGCAATATGGGGACTATCTAAACAATGACTTAAACACAGACGGGAACAAGGTAGTTTCTTCATGATTCGTGGAATTTTACTCTTTGCTTATGTGATATGATTCGAGAAATAGGTTTTTCCAGTAGCTGGTTTCATTCTCTAGTATCCTGCTGTTTTCCCAATCAATGTTGTGATCTGTAGAAATGGCATGTTTCGAGAGGGCGGACTTTTCAGATTTCTTTTGTTCAACATCTCGCTAGGTCTCTCGAAACATGCCCTTTGCGCAGATCACAACATTGATATATAACATCGGTTGTGCTTCATTTATCCTCAAAGAATGTTGTTCGTGGCCGTAACGGGTTAAAAAAATATTGCAGGTGATTCAGTTGCTCATGGTGGCGATCGAAATTTGATTAATTATATTGGACGACTAAAAACGTTTTTATGACAGTTAATTCAGATTTGATAAACTAACATTTTTCAAGTATTATGTGGGTGGGAATAGTGTATGTCACAAGCCAGTTATCTCGGTGGTAAGTTTTCTGATGGCGCATTTTCCTACTTTTGCAATAGTTTGGTCAACACGTAAATAAAATACTGGGAATGGAATACTTGCCCTATATTACTTGTGACTAATAGTCATGAGAAAAGTAATATTTAAAAACTAATTACAGAAATATTCAGCTACACAGCAGTTTCACATATTGTCACGCTAATAACCGAATTGCGTAAGTCATTTTTAGCAGTTTTGAGAAAAACGTAAATAACTTCCTAATTATATTGTTATGCCATTGAGAGTCAATAATTTGCCATGGCTTTAATTTTTTGATCGTAGCCGGATTTAAGTTACTTTGTATGACGCAGTTAAGTGACGTCATAATGGCGCACTGTGACTTAGGCAGAAATGTGTCTATGACTTGGGGACATACGCAATTTTGCAACTTAACTATATGCACCAGTCTTGAAAACTAAACATTCCAAAAACGAATGCAATTCTCAGTATCCACAATGTCTAATCCCCAAAATAGCTAATCAGTTTCAATTACATTATTTTTTATGTTAAAAATATATATTTCATCAATATAACACGTTCTGCACACCCACCGAAATAAGACTAAGACTGAATATAAAGAATAAAACAGCAATGCACCCAATATAAAAGCCAACCAAGGTAAATTGGACTCGGACAGTGAATATCACAAGTGCAGGTCTTCCTATACTGTAGTATAAATTCGAATTAATACGCGCTAAGCTAGAATCCGAGATGCAAAAACTCGAAAATACTTCGCCGAGGTTATTTTGCCTTTGTGACGTCACAATATTCCTGCGGTAACAGTGATAATTCATTATGACGAAACAATTGCACAAATTTGCATGTCATACTAAACCTCCATTTTTATGGGTTTCGGAATTCTTAAAATAAAATCTGAGTTAACAGACAGGTGCGCAGCATTACATAAATACCTATTTTATGAAAAACTCAAAACCGCCAAAAATGACTTACGCAATTCGGTTATTAGCGTGACGATATTATACTTATTTAATTCATATCATTTATAGTTGAAGTGAGTAGTCTACCGACTCTGACTTTCGAAAAAAAAATTTCGAATGAAAACGATAAACCATATTGCTTCATTCAGCTGATTCCCACTGTTGTCTGGACAAATAACCCCAGACATTAAATAGACTCACATGTGTTGCACAAAAATATTATAGCATCATAACGAAATCAGCAATTAAACTGATCAATGAATATCGTTGAACTGCTGGACAGCACAGGGGTAACGAACCACTGACCCGCTCGCTGTTCACATAGTGACCCACCAATATTTTCGGTGACACGCAAAGTCACGAATAAATGCATTGATACCAACATTTTAGCGACAAAAAACCCTAATTCAATCTAACAATAAGTGGAATAGTTTAATATATTGGTATGCAGTTACTGAAATTACTGCTGTTACATCTTTTGTGTCATAAACTTTAGCTTTGAATTTGTTCCACCTCGTGCCGTTAACAAATTGATTGAATAGTCGTTCTTTTCTATCAAGTATACCAATGTATCATGAAATGTTGTATGCTTTATATGCAATAATATGTGACTTGGCGGGTCACTTAATGGCCCACAGGTCAGTGGCTGGCCATGCCTGTCCTGAGGTCTTTCATAAGCTAAATCCGCCCAGATTATGATCAAATAGTTATTTGGTGTTTCAGATGCATGAACTTGATAGTGGAGGAAGCCGTAACCGTCTAGGTTACGTGAACCACCCAGCAATCCTCTTGCACTAATTTACTTCCGCCCCCATGGGATTCGAACTAGAGACGGATACCAAATAATATCGGGTATTGGTTTTATCTTCCACATTGTCGATATCGGTGATTGTATCGATATCGGATGAAAACAGACCGATACTTCCAATATATCCAGCTGTTTGATCTGATCTAGAATGTTTTTAAAAAACATAAGTTAGTATACGCGGATGACACATGTGCGCAGTATTTACTGCTTCAAAGATTGTTCCTGAATGAATGAGAATATATAAATAAATTTCACTCAACATGTATATAGTAGCTAGCCTGCAATGAGGGTTCTAAGCTAGCTCAGCGAATCCTATCGCTTGTTTACAACGAAATGTTGGCATACTTTGTTTATGGAAGGACTGAGCGTCTTTGCATACGTAAAAAGTTAAAATCATTTTACTATGCAGTTAATTCAGATTTTTCAATAAAACGTTGGTGAGTCACGTGACACGCTGCGTCTATGCATCGCAAATACAAATTTGAAGTTGCACGTTTTCATGTTCTGGGAAATATTGGAAGAAATATTAAAATGTGACCGCCTGATTTTTTATTAAAGCTTCGACTATGAATTCACTACAAAGTTAACACAATTGTAAAAGGGAACTTTTTTCTGGTTTAGTCTGTAATGGATTTTGGTTATAAACAAAATAGTGTTTTGCAGCCTTTTTCGGGCATGATACTGTTACAAATGGCCACGAACGTAATAAAGACTCGTGAGATACTAAAATATTTACATCAATATTCATTTCGTCATACAAGTTCAATTAAAAATTCAGCGATCGAATACGAAGCTCTGAAGGCTGATAAACATCTAATAGTGAATCACCAAAATGGGGAAATTGAAGCAAAGATATTTTCGCACATCGCACATTAAAAATAAAATATGGGTATGTGTTGCAACCTGAAAGAAAAATGGGCATTCTGATGCCACTGCTACCATTATGAATACACTAACCTTGGAGTGAGACAATAACTGTCGCATACTGCAGAAGTTATTGCAGGATTGTTTCTCAGTCAAGACACACAATATTTAGCAAGTTTATTATAAACCTTGGCAGCGGCGAAACTTTCATTTGTTACGTAAATATATGCTCTATTGCAGTGGTTCCCAACCTTTCTACTCTGGCAGACCGGTAAAATTAAATTAACTGTACTCGCGGACCGGCAAAAAATTGAAATGACTGGACAGAACAGAATAACATAAATTTGCGTAATAAATGCAATGTCGGGAACTCAATATGCTTCTAGACAAAAAAGGCACACTTAAAAACGTTTCAAACGAAGAAAAACTATCAAATAATGTGCCGGCCAAAAATTGAAATGGATGAAACATAAAATAATACCATATATTTGCGACAATATCCTTCGGATACATGATGATATCTATAAAGCTTGGGCAAATAAAAGATCTGTTCTAGCCGTGTTTCTAGATATTTAAAAGACTTATGGCATTGGCTGTCGTTGTGGACGCTACAAACTGTATAATATTGGGATACGTAGCCGATTTTTTATTGGTATTAAATCGTTTTTGCCCATTCTTACCTTTTAAGTCTGTATCGGCAATACAATGTCCAATATATTCAAACTCGATAACGGAATTCTTCATAGTAGCGTGTTAGCTCCACTTGTTTTTAATGTTATGACAAACGATTTGCTTTATTGTGTTTCTTCAAAGATAACGTTTTTTGCGGACGCCGGCAACCTTTGGGAAGTTGAGTTATGTGTTGATATCTTTATACAAAAGTCCAAACTAATCTAGATAATATTAATTGCCAACGCAATGATTGGGGGTTTCGCCTCTCGGAAACAAAATCTAAATCCATTCTTATTACGAGACGAAGAAAACTGAC